AGGAGGAGGAGGAGGAGGACGGCGCCGTGCGGGACGGCGAGGGCCATGCGTGGCCCGAAGGGCGGTGGGCGCCGCCGGAGAGCGGCGCGGCCGCCCGCTACGCGCCCACCGTGGCCCCCGTGGTGGCCCGTGTCTCCAAGGTGAACCTGCTGCCCTTCGCCGCCAGCCCCGGCGGCTCGCGCGGCGGCAGCCGCTGCTCGAGCACTGAGACGCTCAAGGAGGAAGAGCACGCGGGCGCCTGCTGGCCCGGCCGGCCCTTCCAGGTGGGCTACGGCGTCTACCGCTCGCCCAGTTTCGGGCCGAGCGACGGCCTCGCGCGGGGGCAGCCCCCAGGCCGCGCGCGCCCCAAGCTGCCCTTGGCCATGGCCAAGGCCAACCAGGACTTTGCAAGCGAGACCCTGCAGGACTGCGGGCTCTCGGCGGGGGACAGAGCCACGCACCGCAAGTCCTTGTCCAACCCGGACATTGCCACCGAGACGTTGACGCTCCTCAGCTTCCTCAAGTCGGACCTCTCGGAGCTGAAGGTGAAGAAGAAAGGGGTGAGGATCGGGCTGCCGGAGGAGGTGGCGCTCGGTGGGAGCAGGTACGAGAGCTGCCCCGGCTCGGTCGGCCACCCCATGGCAAGCCGGGGCCGCCCTGGGGCTCAGCCCGTGGGCCGGTGGGCGCCGGGCGAGCGGCCCACCCTCAAGGACCTCACGGCCACGTTGCGGCGCGCCAAGTCCTTCACGTGCTCCGAGAAGGYGGCGGGGACGCGGCGGCTCTTCCTGCAGAGCGCCATGAAGCAGAGCTCCTCCGAGCTCCTCYTGGCCACCACGGGCAACCACGACGGGGCCAGCAACAGCGGCGGCCGGCGGAGGGACGACGACGTGCTGCCCGTGGTCATCCAAGACCAGTACATCCAGGAGGCCCGGCAGGTCTTCGAGAAGATCAGCCGCATGGGGCGGCAGCAGGAGGACTACGGTGTCACGGTGGGGGAGGAGGATGGCGCAGGGATGGAAGGCGCTGGGGACTTTGCGGAGCCCGTGGGAAACCTCYTGTTTGGGAAGCCCACGGAGGAGCTCTCACCACACGAGTGCAGCCTCACGGACGAGGGCATCGTCACGGAGCCCGAGCCTGCCGCCGTGGTGGCCTACGGGGCCCTGCACCAGGCCTGGAAGGTGCCCACGGGTGCCGAGACGCCTCTCGCGGCATCGGGGCGCCCCGGCCTGCAGGCTGCMCACGGTGACCTGCCCTCACCATCGCCCCTGGAGGCGCCGGCCACCCCCAGCGCTGCGCGGCGCCGCCGCAAGTTCCCCTCGGTGGGTGCCGCGGGCTGCGAGTGCAGCGGCGGCGAGGCCAACGGCGACGCGTATCGCTCGCTGAGCGACCCCATGCCGCACCGGCGCCGCGCCGCGGCCGACGAGGCGCC